ATATAAATTTGATTAAGAAATTAAGCGATTTCTATTTTAATTTTACAATTTTATCACTTAAACCAAAATAAATACTTAATGGGCAGTGTGACGAGTATTGGAATTAACAAAAGCATTTCCAGTACTTGAAAGTCTCTTTATTGATATTTTAATTATTTAATTTGTACCTTCCAAAAACATAACTTTTTATCGGACACTGCGCAGATGTATGGTAAACGCTGATGCCACGCCAGACCGCCGTACGTCTTTAAAGGCGACTCAATAAGCGGTACAGTTGACTTGCCCACGAAAACTTTCATCGTAAGATCCGGCCGTCCAATGGTGGCTATCGCAATCTCAGAGCTACCTGGAGCAAAACGTACAATACGGCCTCCGTCCTCATGCACCTGCTTTATGTCAGCAGGTGCAAATGGACGGCTTAAATCCCAGGTGACAATGTCGCCACCAGCCAAGGCTGTAACAAAAAGCCGATTGTTGCTTGCCCAATCAGCAGACATCAGTGGAAATTTTGGTGATTCGACAGAGACTACTGTTTGCTTGCTACGTACATTATATAGATGGATTATCCCTAAAAGCAAATATGATAATATGGCTGCAGCTCAGACTGATAGGTATTACCTACCACGCTTCTCTGCCACAAGCACCTTGCTGGGATCCTCTGGGTGGCTTTTAATGGACATACCCGCCGAAGAAAGGCAAAACGTAATAACGTTCTCCAAACTCGACGCGATATTCCAAAACTTGCATGTGAAATCGTCGCTGACAGAAGCCAGCAACTCGCCATCGCAGACCCACGCAGTGTCATTGATGTAGCTGCTGTGTCCACGCAGGTATTGCACGCTGTTCACCTCATTCAAATTCGTGTGAAACAGTGCCAAATTGCCCTTGCCAATTGAGGCGCACACAGTGACTTTATTTGGCGTACAGTTAAGCGAGGTGTCCGGTGAAAAGGCGATTCTGAAACATCGTGCATCTTCATCCAGTATCTCCATCTCTTGCACATGATTCCATACAAATGTCCCGCTCTCTTCCTAACGATAAAAATGCCATATTGTTAAATATTTCATTGCTTTATTTTTTTATTACTTGCCGGTAGACCAATAAGTATCAAGGAAAGATGTTTTTGTTGGGCTACGCAGATTAGATTATAGGCGAAGTCATTTTCACATATTTCGAAGCAGCTAATGGGTTCACTCATCAATATGCTGTGGTCGGGTTCCGTTGTTGCTCTCATTTTTATTAACTATTTTACTACTTTTATTACGATGGAGCAATACAACAAACTGCCGGCGCCAATTTTTTTTTATAAGTGTTGGTTAATTTGATTAAATTGCCGCAAGTTGGCAGGGTAACCACTCGTCTGGCAGAATGTTGTAAACGACGCCAACTTCACTCGTTTTGTGTATGGTTGGCAGCACTACATATAGCAAGCGTAGCCGACTTTGCGTTTAGAAGATTAATTTCCTTTCTTTCTATTTCAGCGTCTGAATTGAACGGACGTCATGGTGAGTGGTGCTCTGATAGTAAAATAACTATAATAATAAAAAAAATGGCATTTAAAATAATGAACGTTTGTTAATTTGATTGAGAAATGATAAAGAAATGTAAATTTATATATATTAAAAAAAAAAAAAGAGACGGGCCTACCAAATAATTTTTTTATAGCTGACACGTGCATTTTCACACATAACCTCAAACTAAAATTCAATTAAACTCAATCAATTAATTAACCGGGATTACTCATATCTACAGTCGCATCGTAAGTTTTCTGCACCTCGTCATGGCTCTATGGCCTTCTACCCCAAGAAGCGCTCATCCCGCCATCGTGGCAAGGTTAAGGCTTTCCCCAAGGATGATGCCACCAAGCCAGTGCATCTGACTTGCTTCATCGGCTACAAAGCCGGTATGACCCACATTGTGCGTGAGGCCGATCGCCCTGGATCAAGTAAGTATAAGAAAATATACATACATATTTATGTCTAGCCAATTTTCCATGATGAGAAACAGTTAAAATTTTATGGTTAGAACACATATGATCTACCGTGATTATCAATTAACTAGGGCGGACTGACTCGCAACTAAAAAATAAAGATTTTTGGTTAACACGCACGTGCCTAACCTTGGTTTTTAAATTTCTTGTAATATAGAGATCAACAAGAAGGAGGTCGTCGAGGCTGTCACCATTTTGGAGACACCGCCAATGATTGCTGTTGGCGCTGTCGGCTACATTGAGACTCCATTCGGCCTGCGTGCTTTGGTCAATGTCTGGGCACAGCATCTGTCCGAGGAGTGCCGTCGCCGCTTCTACAAGAACTGGTATGTACCTAAATTCCAGACGCCATTTTCTTTTTTCATGAATTGCACACGTGGTTACAAGTTGTTGGGTTTCTTTGCTTCTGTATGATGAGAATTTGGTATCTGAATGACTTTGTCGAAAATCTTTTTTTTACCATACTGTTGCCTTCCTTCTGAACACAGTTGCAAAGTGCAAAACTTTACTTAAAGCTGCGTGTGCGATGTGATTTTCTTAGTTTGATTTTTACTAACTTGAATGAAAATCATAAAGTTCTTCGATCAGTTCGCTGAGAGAGCTTTTCAAATCAATGCAAGTCGTGTAAGCTGCACTTGGCCTTTGTGTCCAATTGATGAGTGAGCACGTCATGGAAGATTGTCATCTCCGCTCGCTAATTTAATAAGCGATGAGGTGTGCTTCCCGTTTTGTCTCTCGCCCCGCACAGACTTGATACATGGCGCTCCATTGATAGAATCGGCACGGCATTGTATTAATTCTCCAACTCCAAACTTCGTTCCAATCAGGTACAAGAGCGAGAAGAAGAAGGCTTTCACCAAGGCCAGCAAGAAATGGACCGATGACTTGGGCAAAAAGAGCATCGAAAACGATTTCCGTAAGATGTTGCGTTACTGCAAGGTCATCCGTGTGATTGCCCATTCGCAGGTAAATATATACTATTGGTTTGAATCCTTAAATGCACGACGTCCTTGGTCTTGTTGCGCCGACTGTGCCTCACGGCCGGCCGGTGCGCCTGCCCTAAAAAGCATTCGCGCTGTGATTTGTCGATGCACAGTTTATGGATGCAACGTCGTAGATTAAATTGCCCTTCGGGTGGCGATGCTTGATATATTCCAGTAACGGTGCGCAGCCGTTCAGGCGATGAGCGCGCGGTTAAACCATATCACGCACAGTCTCTACATATGTAATTAAAATTTGATTTTAACCGGTATACTTATTTCTTGATCTTCAGATCCGCCTGATTAAACAACGCCAAAAGAAGGCCCACATCATGGAGATCCAGCTGAACGGTGGCTCCATTGAGGATAAGGTCAAGTGGGTGCGTGAGCACCTTGAGAAGCCCATCCAGGTCAGCAATGTGTTCGGCCAAGATGAGATGGTCGATTGTGTGGGCGTGACCAAGGGCAAAGGATTCAAGGGTGTCACCTCGCGTTGGCACACAAAGAAACTGCCCCGCAAGACGCACAAGGGTCTGCGCAAGGTCGCCTGTATCGGTGCCTGGCATCCATCCCGTGTGTCCACAACTGTGGCACGTGCTGGTCAGAAGGGTTATCATCATCGTACCGAGATCAACAAGAAAATCTACCGCATCGGGGCTGGCATTCACACCCAGGATGGCAAGGTAAGCATCTCACAGTTGCACCAAAAAAAAAAACTTCAATGATGATAAAAACCTTTTAAATAACGACATCGAAAATCAAAAAAGCTTGATTAACCGTGATATCTATAATGATAGGACTGATCACACTCTGAAAACTAACTGCTTTGCTTCAGTGGCTAGTCGATTAATGTATACTCTATTTTTAGGTCATCAAGAACAACGCTTCCACGGAGTACGATTTGACCGACAAGAGCATTACCCCTATGGGTGGCTTCCCCCATTACGGTGAGGTCAACAACGACTTCGTCATGATTAAGGGTTGCTGCATTGGCTCCAAGAAGCGCGTCATTACTCTGCGCAAGTCTTTGCTGCGCCACACCAAACGTTCGGCGCTGGAACAGATTAAGCTGAAGTTCATCGACACCTCATCCAAGATGGGTCATGGTCGCTTCCAGACCCCTGCCGACAAGTTGGCCTTCATGGGTCCACTCAAAAAGGATCGCCTCAAGGAGGAGGCAGCTGCTACCACCGCTGCTGCTGCCGCCGCTTCTACCGCCTAAACATTTATCCTTATTTTGTATCGATCAATCAATACAAGATAAGATCCGTTTACTCGGTGATTTATGTGTTGACTTCTGCCGTCTTTGTCACGGCACGGTTGGCTCAATAAAAGATGACCTTATAAAACTAAAAACAATTTTAAATCTTGTTATATAAGGGAATAGGATCTATAAATGTCAAAGGTTCCCATCAGTTAGCTAACATTGAATAGGCCTTGACTAGGAAAGCCCTCCTTGAATGTCTCTGCTTTTAGTGTTCCTTAACTAATAAAGTATGAAGTGAAGTGCCCCTAATTATAGGCAGTATTTGAATACGTATCCATTACAATATGAAATAAAGTAAGCTCAATAGAAAATAGTAAATTAAACTAATGTTTGGTAACTCAAATCAATCTTCAAGGTGGATTTGGATCTTCGGTTGCTCTTTATTATTGATTAAGTAATGATATTAATATATGTGACTATCAATGTATTTAAATTCTCTGTAATATTAATGTTCCTTAGAGAACCTTAATGTCGGGCACAACCTTCTCGTTGTCGTAGATCTCCTTGGCATAGCACAGATTGGGATAGTCAAAGGCGGCGCCATATCGGTTCTTACAACCAGAGGTGGCCTTGTCGCCGGGTGTATACACGGGCTGGCCAATCACGTTGGTAGTGGCAAAGTTACAGGTGAGCACGAAGTGGTTGTAGTAGTCGCGAGAGAAGCGCACCGCTGCACAACCCAAATGGGTATTCTTCTCTGCCACGGCAATGGTGAACTTGGCCACATTCTTGTTGGGCAAGTCTTCTGGGAAGCTGGCCAAGATCTCAGGGGAAGCATTGGCACGCTGCTTAAACCAGTTCTCGATCTGCTCCTTAATAATCTCCGCATCGGTGTATTCGGACTCGGCACCGCTGTAGCTGAACATGGCATTGTTCTGGCCAGCGTAGGCGAAGCGTTCCGTACTGCGGCACTTATCGGGAAGGGACTGGCAGGTCTTCACGTTATATAGAGCCAGGTGGGCCAGTTCCTCGCACCAGGTCATCTTGGCCATGCGCGCTGCCTTGGGCAATCCCTCAATGGCGCCACCAGCAACTGTGTTGCGCAGCTCATTGAACAAGGTCAGGATCAACTTCTCATGGGGCTGCATATTCACCTCACGCACATCCTTGGGGCAGTTCTCGCTAAAGTTCTACAGGATGTCTACATTTGTATTGGATTGCTACAGGGATGGATTCGACACTTACTCCTTTATTGTTGCAGGCAATGTGCTTGTCCAGGCAGGTAGGCAGGGCACAGTAGTCCACAGAGGCGACGAGTCCTACTAAGGCAGTCATCAAAAGGAATACCTTCATTGTTGATATGTTGTTCCAATCAACTGTTCACACTTAACTGATGCTCAACAAGCGAAGCAGGCGCGCATTTATAGCACAGCTTGGAGCACACATTCCAAGAAACGCTGTACATTCATGCATGTGCATTGCAGACACATGCTTCGATTATTTGCAACTTCTGGTTTATGACATAGCAACTGAGTTAGCTTGAAGCTCTGCTCAGCCAAATCCATTCTCACATCTGTGTTTAGCCCATTATCGCATTGACTCACTCCTGTGCATTAATAACACCTGTGGCATCTGGCGCAGCTCAGAGGGGTATAAATGGGGCTACTGTTGTAGGGATGCGTCAGTTGAAAACCAACAGCCATCAAGTACAAGATGTTCTTTAAAGTCGGTAGCTTCCTAGTGGTGGCCACAGCCTTAGTAGGCCTCGTTGCCTCTGTGGACTACTGCGCCCTGCCTACCTGCCTGGACAAGCACATTGCCTGCAACAATAAAGGAGTAAGTGTCGAATCCATCCCTGTAGCAATCCAATACAAATGTAGACATCCTGTAGAACTTTAGCGAGAACTGCCCCAAGGATGTGCGTGAGGTGAATATGCAGCCCCATGAGAAGTTGATCCTGACCTTGTTCAATGAGCTGCGCAACACAGTTGCTGGTGGCGCCATTGAGGGATTGCCCAAGGCAGCGCGCATGGCCAAGATGACCTGGTGCGAGGAACTGGCCCACCTGGCTCTATATAACGTGAAGACCTGCCAGTCCCTTCCCGATAAGTGCCGCAGTACGGAACGCTTCGCCTACGCTGGCCAGAACAATGCCATGTTCAGCTACAGCGGTGCCGAGTCCGAATACACCGATGCGGAGATTATTAAGGAGCAGATCGAGAACTGGTTTAAGCAGCGTGCCAATGCTTCCCCTGAGATCTTGGCCAGCTTCCCAGAAGACTTGCCCAACAAGAATGTGGCCAAGTTCACCATTGCCGTGGCAGAGAAGAATACCCATTTGGGTTGTGCAGCGGTGCGCTTCTCTCGCGACTACTACAACCACTTCGTGCTCACCTGTAACTTTGCCACTACCAACGTGATTGGCCAGCCCGTGTATACACCCGGCGACAAGGCCACCTCTGGTTGTAAGAACCGATATGGCGCCGCCTTTGACTATCCCAATCTGTGCTATGCCAAGGAGATCTACGACAACGAGAAGGTTGTGCCCGATATCAAAGTGCTTTAAGGAAGGGGTGAAAGTATGAGTATATCGATAGTTGCTGACTGACCGCTTTAAGATGTAATATAAACCTTTGAAATATATGTATAATAATTATAAAAATAACGAGTTCGTATTCCACTTATTCCGCATTAGTTGCGACACCGAAAATGCATTTGAATAAAAATCAGCTGTTTCAAATTTAACTACTGCTCGTTCAATCAGCTGATCTATATTTGAAGTAAGTTGGCAGCTTAACGTAGGCAAAAATGTTACGCCAGGTTTTCCGATGTGGCAGCAGACGCAGTTACAGCTATAAATCTGTTCGTCGTCCTAACCTTGGTGCTCTATCTGGCAATGTCCAGTTGGAGCAGAGTCAAAAGCCGAAGCAGCCACCTGGAGCAAATGCGAGACCGAATGGTAACCTGGCCAAGCAGTTGGCCGCCAAAATTCAAGCGACGGGGCCCATTACCGTGGCCGAATACATGCGTGAGGTGCTAACGAATCCCAAGGTCGGATACTACATGAATCGGGATGTGTTTGGACGGGAGGGTGACTTCATAACATCTCCGGAAATATCTCAGATTTTTGGAGAGGTGAGTTTAGACCGGAAAGTTCAACTGGACAGATATGTGATAAAGGAGTCTCAATTTAGCTCGTGGGAATCTGGTTGATGAACGAATGGCAGAAGCTGGGCAGTCCGTCGCCTTTCCAGCTTGTGGAATTGGGACCGGGACGGGGCACATTGGCCCGTGATGTGCTTAAAGTGTTGTCCAAATTCAAAAGTGGCGCTCAGTTCACCATGCACATGGTCGAGATTAGTCCGTATCTGAGCCAGACGCAAGCGCAACGCTTCTGCTACAAGCATGAGGTCCTGGCAGAAGGGGAGCAGCTGCCACACTACCAAGTTGGTACTACGGCCACGGGTACGCAGGTGTTCTGGCATCGTCGGCTGGAGGATGTGCCAGCTGGGTTTTCTCTGGTGCTGGCGCACGAGTTCTTCGATGCGCTGCCTGTGCACAAGCTGCAGCTGATCGATGGCCAGTGGCAGGAAGTGCTCATTGACGTGGACACAAAGTCGACGACTGCTGATTTCCGATATGTTTTGTCCAAGGCTCAGACACCCGTTTCGCAATTGTTCAAGCCGCTGCCGCAGGAGCAGCGCACCTGCCTAGAGTACTCTCTTGAAGCGGAGCGACATGTGGGCCTTCTGGCAGAGCGATTAGAGCAGCATGGGGGCATCGCCTTGATTATGGACTACGGCCACTTTGGCGACAAAACAGACACGTTTCGAGGTTTCAAGCAGCACGCCCTGCACGAGCCACTACTGGCGCCAGGCACGGCGGATCTCACAGTTGATGTCGACTTCAGGCATTTAAAGCATGTCGCGGAGATGCGCAGCCACATCCACTGCTGTGGGCCAGTGCAGCAGGGTGACTTTTTGAGAAATATGCAGGGCGAAGTTCGCCTGCAGCAGCTCCTGGCCCATGCGTTGCCCGAAAACCAGAGCATCATACGCTCCGGCTACCAGATGCTTACCGATCCAAACCAAATGGGCAGCCGATTCAAGTTCCTTGCCATGTTTCCCGGCGTAGTGGCTGCCCACTTGGAGAAGTATCCCGTGGCTGGCTTTGGATAACATATGTTTTGTATTTAATATATAAATGTTCTGTTTTATGCACGATCTACTATAGTAACGTTTCGAATGTAGGCTATTTCTTTTGGAATGCTGCGTTGATGGCGTGCATCTCGCTGCTGGTGAACTGAAGGACAGCGCTGATAGCGTTCAGCATGTGTCGCTTGTCCTCAGCATCTCGGGTGACAATGAAGCTAATGACAACGTTCTTCAGATACTCCAAGTTAGCGCCTTCGCGCGTCTTGCAGCGCTCCAATCTGGATGGGAAGCAAGGCAACGATATTAACACAAAGTGTATCAAATGGAATCTTGGCTCACCTATCCACTTGCTCCTCGAGCTGTTCTATCTTTTCGTGCATCTCCTGCTGCGCCGTAACTTTATCCTGTATAGCTTTCCTAAGCGTGGACTCCGCCGCGTATTTGGATTTGCGCAACGCTGTAATCTCAATGTCCTTGCGTGCCAGCTCGTTGGCGTAGTGCAGCATGTGACAGTTCTCGCCCAATGACAGCTTCTTGGACTTGACCCTCATCTTCGTCTCCCGTTCGCACTCAACCTCCACGCTGTCCGCGTCCGAGGAGTAGGCAACAGTCTCGCTGGTTTCTATGGGCAACGCTTTTGGCTTGTGGAACACCTCGAAAGAGGTCTGCAGCGTCTTAATCTCCTGCTCCTTCTCGTCGAGTAGTTGGAGAGAACGCTGCCGCTGTTTTTGCAGCAACTGCTCCAGCTCGTTTAGTTTGCAACGCGTCTCATTTTCCAAGTCCGCCTTCGCCTCCTGCCACTTGGCACGCTCGTTCTTGAGCGCTACGCGCATCTTGTCACCCTGCTGCTTCAGCTCAAGCTCGGCCTCGTCAATATTGCGATTGAGCACCTGCACCTTGTCTTGCAGTGTCTGGATGTGTGTCTGTTGCAGCTGAATCTTCTGCTGGAGGTGCGCCTCCTGCAGCTTACTGTTGTCCAGCAATTTTTGCAGGTTCTGCAGCTGCTGCTCACACTGGTCGTGACTGTCAGCGCTGGCTGTCGCATGGCTGCTCGCCAGCACCGTGTTGAGGTCTATGGGATTGGAGGAGCGTGCATTGGCACTAGTTAGCAGCTTCTTGAGACGCACAATTTCATCCACAAGAGCACCTATATCCTGGTCGCTATCTTTGAGCTCCTGTACTGCGGGCGCTGTACGGGTTTGCAGCTGTTCCAGCTCCTGCAGCTGCTGCTTTAGTGCATGGATGCTATCCTGATCCTGTTGTCGCAAGCGGTCGTAGCTGCCTACGGTGTTACTCAGCTCGGCGAGGCGAGACTCCAAGTTGGCCACCCGATCCTCGTGCAAGGCTGCCTGTCGTCGGCTTTGCTCCTCGGCACGAAGCACGCGTCGCTGCTCCTGCCTGATGGCCACCGAGTGCTGCTCCTTCAATTGCTGCATCTCCTGGCGCACCTGCTGCAGCAGCACATTGCTGTCGGTCCCCGATACTGCAGCAGTCGTTTGCTCGGCTTTGGCCTGCCATTGCTTCAGCTGGGCACGTGCCTCCTTCAACTGGAGCTGCAGCTCTCGCAGGCGGCTGTTCTCAGCCTCGTTGCTGGCAAACTGCGTCTTAAAATTGTTCAGCTGCATCTTAATGTTCTCTTTGAGGTGTCGCTCGTCTGCGTACAGCTTTTGCAGCTCGCGCAGCATAATCATTTGATTGTTGGTCTCCTTTTCACGTTCTTGACGCTCAATAATCCACTTAGCTTTCACTTCATCCACGTCGTTTTTGGCGCGCTGCGCTTGCTCCTTGGCCTTGGCATGCAGCTCCTGTATGATCTGTTCCTTTTGAGCTATCTGTGCGCGTAGCTGCTTCTTGTCCGCCTGAAATGACGCCTCCATCCGCGACTTTTCCGCAGAGAGTGTAGCCAGCGAGTTCATAAGAGTTATTATTTGCGTCTGCAGCTGACCTTTTTCTTCATTGCCCCCGGCAATATCGCCGCCTGAGGCTATGGAACCATCAGCCACATCGCCGCTGACTTCGCCTGCGGTTGCGGCCACGGCTGATTTGGAATCGACATTTGAATCCTTGGCAGACGTAACTTCGGCATGTGCTGCTAAGCTCGTCTCTAGTGCCTCCTTCTCCTTGAGCAAGCCCTTGTACGCTGTGACCACGTCTGCAATTTTAGTTAATTAGCTGCATTTTACATTTTGTTTATTGCACAACGATTTACCCCTGAGTCGCTTCTCGTATCGTGACAATTGCTCCTTCTGCGTGGCCACCAGAGTCTCTAGCTCACGCTGTCGCTTATCCATGTTTCATTCGTTCCAATTGCAAGCAATCAAGGTTGTCGCAACTAAAATCTAAATTAAATTATTTCTATTGTGGCATACATACTGAAACCGACTGCAGCACAGCTACACGATACCCTGTATCGGATATTTATATAATTGGCTGATTCGAACAATTCGACTACCATTTAGTTCTTGCTATTTCATTTATAGGGCTCATATTAAATGTGTAAAGCAAGTGTAACTGCGATCGGGACATAAATTTGTATTGAAATAAAAAAAATACACTTTTATTTACTTGAACATACATACGTACATATGTATCTAGCAATTAATTAAAGGCTTATCTCTCATTAAACCTTATTGTCATTTTAGCTCTATTTTTTAATTCAATAATACAAGCAGTTAGCTATTGCTGTTTACATTTTCATTACTAATAGTAGCAACTATATATGTATGTAAGTAAAATTTTATAGAATTACCCAAAAACAGGTATAGCCAAGTCTGCCTTTATTTTTTGTGTGCTTTTAATAACAGCTGTTGACAGTGCTGCCAAGTTGAATTATTTTATCAATACTTTAAATTAGCTGGAGCCACTAACCGTATGGTCAGTATGGTTAGTGATTGATTTCGCACATTATATTTATTAATATGAAATAATCATAAACTACTGCAAAAAGTAGATTTATACATAAACAAGACTTATTTTTACATATTGGCATTTGCAAATGTTTCGATTTGTGTATTCGCACTGTGGTTAGTGGTATTCGTGTATAGCTTTTGGCAGAGCTGCCAACCTAAGCTTATTATTTAATACTAAAGCTTATGAAAAAATTAAGTACGGTAGCGGTTATGTGTCACCATCCTCTTTTATCATTTGTTCAATTAATCGTTTGCGCTCCTCTGCCTGGCGCAGCTTGCGCATGACCAAGTCCTCGTAGTCCCTTGCAGTGGCATTGCTCTGATTGGTTGGAGTTGTGGTTTTGTCTTGTGCCGGCGGATTTACCCACTGAAAGTGCAGTGGATTCGAAGGATTGCCTTTCTCATAGGCCAGCACCATATCGCAGGCTTCTCGTGTCTTCAGCTCTACCATGGCACGCCCGCGAATCTTTGGGTTCATGACTAGCGCAACTACATCGCCGTATTTCTTAAGGTACTGCATAAGACGCTCTTGTGTGTAGCCGCCATTACTGTTATCGCCTTTATCACACATCCATTTAATTTTGATGCGATGCTGTGCGGAGTTAAAGGACGGCGTTTCTAGGCATTGCTTCTGTTGCTCGGCGTAGTTGCGTTTCAGTTGCTCCCGCATCGCTTGTTGCTCCTCCTCTAGCAATTTGGAGCCTTCGCGCCGCAAACGTTCTATCTGCTCCTGCAGCACTTCCTCATCCGTTTTACGAACTGTGCTGTACGGCTTTCCTGTCTGCAACTTATGTAAGGCTGCACGTTCCCTTTCCTCCAGTTCCTCTTTTAGCTTTTGTCTTTTACTGTCCAGCTGTTTGGTGCGAAGCTCGGCTGCCTTTTTGGCCTTGAGTACCTTGTCGTAGGCGGACCGGGCTGTCACATCAGTCAGTATTTCTAGTGCCTTGGACAGCTCATGAAAGCGTTCGACGGCCTGGGGATTATCGGGGTTCTTATCCGGATGACAGTCTAGAGCCCGTTTTCGATACGCTTTCCGAATCTCGGCCTGCTCGGCCTCGATGGACACGCCGAGCAGGTCGTAGAGATTTATATCACTGTATTTCTTGCTGCCCATGGCATTAATATCCAAAGTTTAACAACAAATTTTACAAACGTTTGTGATTGTTTACAAGCCGGAAAGGAATGCTTGCTGATCAGCTGTTCCGTGCGATAGGTTGGCAGAGCTGCGCGCCAACAAATTTTATTTTACATGGACTTTAATTGTAAGCAGACCTAAAAATTTGGAAAAGCACCTATGATGACCCTATCATGGGAATATTGTTTTGCGAATCTTTTCATTCCATTTGTACACATTTTATAGGCGGTATAATATCCGCAGATCATCTGTTAATTGAGACAGGTTGGCAGCACTTCGACCGCAACGTGTGTTCATTTCGTATATGCGTGAATAATCCAAATATTGTAGATCTAGAGCGATCAAAAAGATAATGAGTATTTACCACGACGAGGTTGAGATTGAGGATTTTGAATACGACGAGGAGGAGGAAATGTATTACTACCCGTGTCCCTGCGGTGATAGATTTCAAATTTCCAAAGTATGTGTGCGCATATCAAAAACTGTGACAGTTACTAATCAAGGTTTTCGACTTCGCAGGAGGAACTTATTGAAGGGGAGGAAGTAGCTACTTGTCCAAGTTGTTCATTGATCATTAAAGTCATATACGACGCGGTAATTTGCTTTAATTAATCTTGCAGTGGCAAAATACCTAAACTGTCCAGTGAATTATATTTTATTTAACAGGATATGTTTAAAGCGGAGGAGGACGAAACGGCGACGCTAAACGAGAAGTTAGGCGACTTAAAGCTTGAGACGAACTAGATCCTATTTAAGAGTCTCACCAAGTGGGTAATGATCATTTTTTTATTTGTATAATTTCGTTTATTGTAAATGTGTTGACTAGTAAACAATTAGTTTAAATAATACTTTACCGCAAATATTTGATTACAGTTTTTGTTACATAGCTCTAAAAAAATATACCTATAAATAAATAATGAACCAAAAATAGGACCCGCACAGATGGTTTGATAAAATGCAAAGAATATTCACTGTGCAGTTAATTTAAAATTAATATAAACAATCATAGTTTGTAAAGCTTAATGTACAAATCAACTATATAAATTATGTATTGCACTAGGCGCTGAATTGAAATATATATAATATTCAGGAGAACACAAGGAACTAATTTTAAGTACGAGTTATGTGTGGAAATGTGAACATAGTTACATGGAAATAAATAAACCATTACAATATGAACTGTGGCCTTTGCTTATGAATTAGGAATTCGACTTAGGTGTAAGCTTTTAGATATTGTTAAGAGTCATGTAGCATTTACAGAGAGAGAGTTGGAGCATGTAC